TGGAGTCTCCTTCTCTGGAGATATTCAAGACCCGCCTGGACGGGGTCCTGTGCGGCCTGCTGTAGGTGACCCTGCTTGGGCAGGGGGGTTGGACTAGATGACCCACAGAGGTCCCTTCCAATCCCTACTATTCTGTGATTCTGTGATCCACCCTTTTTGCCCGCAGGTTGGCGTAAAGAGCTTTGTTTGTACAAGGTTTCGTTCTGGCACCTGAGCAAACACCCTTTGTACAGTGAGCAAAGTTTAGCACCTTTCTTGCACGCTCTTTTGGCCAGCACTTCTGTGTGCATTCTGGTTTGCTGGAGGGGATTAGTTTTGCTGGCATGCTGCAGAGAAATCCGTGGTCTGTCACTGCCCCAGGGGTCTGTCTGGCTTGAGAGAGAAGGGACAGCGGGAAGCGTGTGGCTGCAGAGCTCGCTGTCCCGCAGAGCCGGGGCAGGGACTGTGCAAGCCTGGGACCACGGAAAAGTGGGAAAGTCTTCCTGTGTGCCTGGAAACGGCTTTTCCTCCCAGGGCCCGGCCTCAGTCGCTCTGTTTCTCGCACGGGGCTGAGCAGGAAGGAGCAGAGTAACCTTTTCAAAAGGAAAGAGCAGCATCTCCTCGGTGTAACTCGCTTCCTCTGCAACTCGTAAATCTAGTGCTCTGAATTGCTGGTGGGTTTAGGAGTAAATCCAGAGCAGGAAACTGTGAGTCAGAATTCGTAAGAACTGCAACAATCCTGTCCACAGTGGGAAAACCTCTGAAGAGTCATTTTCCAGCGTGCCAGCACCCTGACATGCTGGAAGATCTCTTTATGGGGGAGCAGGGGGAGCGGGGTGCGACTGGCTGGCTGCTTTGCCCGGGCTGTGCACAGCTTCGGGCTCTCCAGCTCTTGCTCCAGGGATGTTCAGGGGAGGTTTATATTGGATATTGGGAAAAATTTCTTTACTGAAAGAGTGGTCAGGCATTGGAAGGGGCTGCCCAGGGAATTGCTGGAGTCCCCATCCCTGGAGGTGTTCAAAAAACGTGTAGATGTGGTACTCTGGGACGTGGTTTAGCAGGCATGGTGGTGGATGGTTGGACTCGGTGATCTTAGAGCTCTTTTCCAACCTCAAAAATTCTGTGATTCTATGTCCTGATAAAGCTTCACCCCTCTCTGCTCCGCGGGGGCTGGTGACGGCTGTCGTGTCCTGCTCCGTGTGCCTCCGGCACGGGAAGCTGTGCGTTGCCAGGCAGCTCCTCCCGCGGGACCCTGGGGTACTGCCCAGGAAAATGATGGATTTTGTTTACGCTAAAGACGCGAATACAAACACTTTTCTCAGCATTTCTTTTTCCAGGTGAACCCAAAGCGACTGCTGGGGCCAGCACCGGCCGTGTCCTGCGGATGCAGCTGTGCTGGGGGGCCGGTAAGTCGGGCAGAGGGGAGCAGCAGCAGCCCCCGCTCTGCCCCCGAGCCTGCGGCTGCTCCCAGGCAGGGGTGCGTAGGGCTGGGAGTCGGGTGCGCAGCTCCCCTGACCCCAACCCTATGCTGGAGACGCAGAGCCGTGCAGTCAGACCTAAAGCCAGAATACCCTCTGGCAGATAAATACATCTTTTTACTAGTGTAGCTTATTCCTTTTGGGAAACTGGTTTAAGATATATTAGCCAAAGAATAATGGTTGCAGCTCTACCAGGTAACTTTTATTAGAAGCAGTTCCTGCTATTGCCAACTTTGGGCACTAAAATCGTTAGTCAGGTCCCCAAGCTGGGCATATAAACCTTCAGGGTTTTTTACTCCTTCTAATAAATCAACTCAGCTTGTTTTGTTTGCTTTCCTATTTCTGAGTCTCTGAAATATGAGGTTTTGAAGTGCTTTCCAGCAGCTCCAGAGGCTAGAAACGATGTGTATAGCTGCTGCAAGTGAAAGCAGATGTGTATATAATTAATTTGGTTTCACAGGCTTCACTGTTGCAGAGCTGACGTGAGAGCTGCCCGGTCCACAGCAAGGGCATCGGCACAGCGACGCGCTCGCCCCGTCCGGAGGCAGCTGCCAGCAGCACCCAGCAATGGAGCAGCCAGGGGGGG